TTCTTTTATGCCGTTGAAGCAGCAATTCACACATGAGAAAACGTCGTTCAACGTCTCTCGGCTTCAACTCATACGGCACCCAATGTCCTTGCTTTTGGATCATTCCTAACGCTTTTAAACGTTTTGAAACTGTTGACGCATCTACTTGCAATGTTTTCCCGAGCTCTACTAGCGTCTGACATGGATCTAGATCAAGCAATGCCTCCAATTCTTCGTCTTCAAACTTTGTCGGTGCTCCAGAACGTTCTTTATCTTCAAGGTCAAAGTCATTATTTTTAAAGCGCCTAAACCAGTCTCTGCATGTCGTATTCGACAGAGCATTGTCACCATATGTTTCAACAAGAATTCTGTGTGCTTCAGCTGCAGATTTCTTTTGAATAAAGCAGTGCAATAAAATTCCCCGCAAAAACACTTTATTTGGCACAAAAGTAGACATTTTCGCAATAGGTAATTAAACACGTGGTTGACACTGTGGTAAACTGTATCTACTAGAATTTGAGGTTACATATAGTACTACTTAGCTGATGCGTTTCCGTACGAAATTCCATGCACAGAGTGCCGCTACGCCATCTTTTAAGAAACAGCGAGAACTTATTCAAGGACCTAATACATTCAATATACTATGTAAGTTTAAACGAATATAAATGATTGTAGAATGATAATATATTTTATGTTTAAGAAAAACACGTAAAATCGAATTGGTTTTTATTGCTTCTGTTCTGCGATGCTAAATGGCCGCTGTATTTCTTTCGTACCGCGAGCAATCGACATTGCGAATGTTGTGTATTTCGACAATGAAATAATAAATCATTAAATGATATAAGGATATCTTTAAAACTCACATACATATTATTTGAGTTTGACTGATCACATTCATCTGCATTGTTAGACAATTACTTTTTTCGATCTTCAAATATTTGACTTTGATCGCCCAGCTAGATTTTTATCGCATAAACTTGATTTCTTTATTCATCCATATAAATATAATATTAGCAGCATTAATCGTATGTTACAGATGTCCGAAAGAAGCAACTGCGAGGATCGAAGAGCGAAATTTGTGAGGAGGATCAACGACGATCGACCGCTTCAATGGATCCCTCTTTTGGGCGCATAATACTCAAGGTATTTCATTCTTCCTTCGTCTGTCTCTAGCGTTTGTAACTTGATACAGTGGGAACCGCGTGTGATCTCTATTGAGTCGCTGGAATACCGAAAAAGGATCCAAAGGATTATTTCGGCAACGCCAAGGGTGCGTCGCTGACTATACGTACGCTCTCTTTCATCCCCGTGCGCATTCTATCGTTTATTTCTCAAGAAACGCGACGCCGCACCTTTGACATTTTTATTTCATACGGCACGAACGATAATTAATCGCGATAGCGCGAAAAGTACATAGCGAGTGATTAACAAGTTACGGTTATTGAGATTTCTCGTACCGATAATCAAGCGCGGCGAAGAAGTTTAAACTTCTTGCGCCGCGCCGTACTGAAATTATATCGATCATCGCGCGACAGTTGGATTCCAGACGGGCAAGAAAATGGAGAGTGCTGGGGATTGATCGATATACGCGTGCGGGTCCAGGTGGCGCCAACGAGTTTTCCCGAAAAGAGAATAAACGTCGATCGCGTTAAAGGATGATGAACGACTTCGAAGGCGGTCTGCCGGCAAAACGGACGAACGAGGGAAGGAGCGAGCGGAGCGTTGCAAAGAAAGTTGAGAGCGTTGAGAGAAAGAGAGAAGGAAGTCGATGCAGAGCGGTCAGTACGCAGTGTACCAGGGGGGTGAACGATGAAAAATCGTGTCGGCCAAGACTCGTGCGTTCTCCTGGATATGAAACTGCCAGACGGATAGACGGACAGACGGACGAAAAGAACGAATGGCTGTTTCTTCTCGAGCGGAGACGGGTCCGACGGTCTGTTATTATTTCTCTCTCTCTCTCCTTCTCTCTCTCGTCCAGTTCTCTGTGTCTTCGGGAGAAGAGCGGATCGCCGCGTTACCGACGAGAGAAAGAATAATAGCCTCCCCCCGTATCCGTGGACTGTAGTCTACAATTAAAACTCTCTCTCTCGCGCGCGCGCGCTCGCGTATTCCTAAGGGCGGGAAGAAGAGGTTCTCTCATTGCTGTACCGACTAATCGACTCGCGCGCTCACTCGCACAACATTTCGCAGAACGCTCGGACGAAAGGGTCGAAAGGGATATAGATCGAGCGACTTGCGGCAGACACCTATCCGATACCGCCGTCCAAATAGCCGCACGCAGTCCACTTTCTCACCGGGCAACGCACCCGACATTTTATAACGGAAATTTCATATCCTTGGCATTAGGAAACATTGTGAAATCCGTGCACACCCGGACGCGATTCTCTTAATCTTTCTCAAGTCGGTAGTTACGCGCATCGGGAATGAATACTGGAGATGGTTAGTCCCTGTCGGTCTAATAATAGAAATCTGCGTTGACGTCGGTAGCGGCGGGCACGCAGGGCGAATAAGAGGGTACCACTTGGCACAACGGTGGCAGTTGCTCGGGTGGTTTCGGTCCGCATTACGAGTTACGCGGGCGGGGTAATCATGATGATTTCGACTTCGGGTGGGTCATCATCTCGTCACTGCGTCACCCGCGGCCAAAAAACACTAGCATGCACGAACGACCGATTCGCAGCATAAGCGCAGTCTCAGCTGCCACCACCACCGCCAGCGTTGATCGACACCACCGTCTGCAAGGACTATAGGGAGATCACGAGAGGAGCGAAGGATACTTTATGGACTTATCAATCACTTGATAGCCTCGCGCTGGATGCGTGCGGCGCTCCGCGTTTCTTCTTTCCAGGCGCGCACACTGTTATTAGCGACGATTAAAAGATTCCGCGCGGCGGTCGGAATCGAGTGCCGTTTCCTCGATTCGTTTCATCGACAGGGATTTATGGTTTCCGCCCCGGTCGAGATAGATCGTCGTGCGCATTTTCACGGGTTTTCACGGGGATGTTTTTATTGTTGTCGCTATGAGACACACAGTGATAATTTTTTAAATTAATGATTATTAGGGAATCAGTGATAAATTGACATCTAATTGCAAATTGTCATAATCGTAAATTTTGAACACATTAAGCGGCTAGTTTCGGACGGATATTACCACTCGGAATTATAACTGTAATAATTGTTCGTAGTTTAAACGTTATTAGTTATGTTATTAGTTCGCAATTATATTGCCCCGGGGCTGAACGAAGAAACCTTACAACAGATCGCGTGGATCGATGGCTAGGCGTTTGGGGCTGAGAGTAGAATCGGCTGCAGATAGCCATGGCATGGCGCGCGATATACGCACACGAAATCTCGGTATCTCGAATCGAAATCTCGAAGTGCCGATCGAAATTGAGCGAACCGGGCCCGCGAGCGGCGCGGCCCGGCGCCTATCGGCAAATCCTCGCGTCGCGAATGAACCGGGGATCGTCCCGCTGCTTTGTGGGTGGACTTGCGGCTGGACTCGCTGGATCTACGTGTTCTTGCCGTACAAATGTACTCGCATTTTGGTTCGGGCGTGTAGGGGCCCGGGGACGGGGCCGCGGCTGGGCCCCACGAACCCGGTAATTAAATAGCTGTACCCTGCAATTAGGGCCACTAAATCGTGGCGGAGCCCGGACCCGGGCCAGCGAAAGGCCCGCCAGACACAAAAAACAACGTCGAAACGTTGCTTGTGCCAAGAGAGAGAGGCGCACACATGTACCCTACGTACTATGTGCGAGCGAGCCCTGGGATTCTTGATGTGTGTGTCGCGGGGGTGGCTTTGTAGCATGTGGGAACCTAATCGGATAGAAGAAAATAGAGAGGCTGCCCTTCGTATTTAAAACACGCTCCACTGTTGTTTCCATGCCTCTCTTTCTTTTCCTCTCCGCCTCCTCTTTCCTTTCTCTTAACTCGCTTATATTATATGGCGGACAATGTGTTTGCCGTTATAAGCTTCTCAACATTGTTAAAAAAATGTGTAAATCTGAACAATCTATCAAACTGTCGTATAAAAGTGCAGCTATTAAAGACGAACTATGTGAAATTAAAGTGTGCAACAAGATATCCGACAGTTGACTTGAGACGTTTTGAAAATTAGCCCGTTAGCAAGAAATTTTCCATTAGGAAAATCAGCATGCCGCAACGATCGCGCCAATTTCGCAAATTATCTCGCAAAATTAATTATCTTGCGTGTACCGTCATATCGAGCGACGCACTTTTAATCGGCGGAACAAGTTTGACGATCTTATCGTTCGAGAGAAGAATGTTGAATTACATCGTTCGAAGAAATAGATACGCACGTGAGTTGGCATCTCCGGAGAGATAGTTGCGCGTGATTAGCTTTTTTATGAATTTCTATTCATTAAATATTTATTTATAAATTCTAATTTCTGCAGCTTTTACGCAAGCGAAATAGAATAATATTTTACTTTTCGTATTACAGCAAGTAATTAACGGGTACTTATTATAACATGTGTAATTAAAGAGTTTAGTCTAAAAAAAGAACGCTATTAAAATAATGCGAGATGTATTGTAACGCAACACCCGCCACAAGATAAAGTTATAAATCTACGTTCACATTGTACTAATAAAGCACTTGAATTTGATTAAACCACATTCCGAATAATTGCGTTAGGAAAAAATGTTAATGCAATCAAGTTTGTAAGAAAAATAGGCGTATTTTGTTTTTCACGACGTCTAAATCTCAAGCTAAATCTCGAAAACTTTCCGATATACGTTCGTGTCGGCTGCGAAATATTCACCATCGCCGAAGTACATTTCCGCCGTGGGGGATAGACGAGCAGGGAGCGGCGAAGCCAGAAAGGAAGATAATGGTAACAAACAGTCTTCCTTCCTGTTACAGAACGACAGTGCCGCTTCCCCGCTTCTCGTCCTTCCCGGCACGTAAAGTCCGCCATGCATCGCGATATCCGCATATGCAAAATCGGGTCTGCGCACGCACCGGCGGAGAGTACCTCTAGATGAATGACCGAGCATCACGCTTACCGCCCGTATTAAAATATCAGAGCTACCCCCGGCAACCCGACCAACCCTCCGTCGCTACGGTTCCGCCGCCGTGCCTGTCGGTTCTCTCATCCCCTCGCCCCTCGGCCGCGTTGGCATTAAATCAGCCACCCACCAGCCCCGGGTTATCTAAGGAGCCTATCTGTGGACCGGCTAAGATATCGTCGCTGCTTTGTGCGAGAACTCGTTGCGTTTGTTGCGCGCCTACACGATCCTTCTCCCGTCGTGGAGTACCTTCGAGCAGCTCCGAGGAAAGGGGGAGAAAAATGGAGAGAAGTATGTACGGCCGAGAGAGGCCAGCCATTGCCGCGTATTAGTCACGACTGATGTTCTCCCTGATTTTTCTCGATTTGGCAGAGATTTGTAATGCACGATCCTTCTCGTAATTCAGACAAATTGCGCGGCGTTTAATAATACTTTGAAACTAGAACAACGTCTCTCGGCGAATTCTCTTGGAGCGTTACACGTTATAAAGCGTATTCAGATTTTGCATAGATTATTGCGTTCGACATTAAGATATACATTTCTTTCGTAATAATAAACTCTTTTCAAAACGTAGGAAACTATATTTGAGAGCCGCGTAGAGTCGCGGAGGAACGAGAAGCGAAGCGACGCGATGTCGATCGCGCGCGCTATCGACGGACAATTTAATTTTCTAATTATCACGACGCGCTATGTACCTCGATCGAGAGAAGGTATGCCGTCGTTATCTCGGCACGGCATCTGCGTACGTAGCCAAGCACTCTACGCGCATATAAAAGCTAATGGATCCACGCGAGGGTCGCTTCTCCGGACTCAATCTCGACTAATATCCTCGTAGTGCGCGTGTACGTGCGCACGAGAGAGAATATACGCCCACGAGGTAAATGCGAATCGTCGCGGACGATGAAGCGAACGATGAGGAGAACGAGTACGAGGAGGATAAGGACGGGAGAGGACGGGAGAATGTTCGCGTACTGCAGTGCGGTGAATTAATTGATTACCGTGTGCGCGTACCCACGTACAATCGTTCTTGCAGCGAAGAACGATTGCGGTAGGGAGAAGTTTGCGGAGGGAGGGACGGCCGGGTGGAAAGTTTTCGATGCTGAGTAACGGGC